GTTAGCTGGGCTTTCTGAGATGTGTGCCGAACTCTTCTTAAAGGCCCAGATTTATCCATTTGCTCCACCAGACAAAGATTTGAGCATCACTTAGCATCAGCACCTCCTAGCTTGGGAAGAGAGAGGGCTTCGAGAAACTGAGGTAGGCAGTGTCCCGGGGCTGCTGTCATCCCCTGCTCTCCTCTGTGGTAGGGACGCTTAGGGAAGGTGAGATTCCACCCTTGACTCACAAGGTGACCATGGCCTCAATTTCCCCATCTGTAAAATGGGGGTGTTGGGCTTATCTATCTATCTCTAAGGGTGTTTCCAGCAAGGCCATTCTAGAATTCAAGGTATAATCAGGGGGAGGAAGGTTTGGAGCTGGGACATGGTTTCTAAATGGGATCAGTTAATCCTCAATTGAAGGGAAAGTTTAAAAAGATCTGTTTCATCCATCTCTCTACTCAGCCCAGGAAGAATCTACACCACCAGCCACAGACACAAATGCCCACAGGGGACTGAGAGGTGACATGAAATACAGAAGTGTGAGAAAATAACCCCTCTAGCCCCTTGGTGACCTCAGCCTCAGTGTCGGGGAAGCAATAGGGAGTAGTGGAGCCTGGGGCACATGGGTGCCTTGTATGGTGCACACCTCATCAGCTCCAGCCCAGTGTTGCCTTCGCCCAGCATTGCTGGATCTGCTGATATTTTAGTAAAGCCTCCCCATGTTCTAAAGGTTAGCCAAACCAAACACATCTGAGAGGCAGATGTAGCCCAATGGATATCAGCTTGTGACCGCCAGGTTCAGCTACCTGGGACCTTCCTCTTGAACTTCTCCAGGCTGGAAATTCTAAAAGTAGTATTCTGTTGCCCTGGCTGCCAGGAAGTTGTTGCTTGTGTCCAACTAAAACTTCTTCTGCTTTAAATCCTTTTTATTTTTGCGTGGGTGGAGGCATGAGTGAGAATTGGCTCCTTATTAAAAAAAAAAAAAAGAACCTTTCAGAAACTGGAAAAACAGCCCAGATGCAGTGAACTGAAAAGCAAGTGGGTGTTAGAAGACCCACATTCAAGTCCAGCTCAGTCATGTGTCATCTGTGTGACCTTGAGCAAGTCACTTCACCTGTCCAGGGCTTAGTTTTGTGTTTGTTCTTTTCTCTCCCTGCCCCTTTTGCCCTTGCCCTGGGGCTCACCATCACCCACCCAAAACACATAATGATAATAATAGCAATTATAACTAGAGCTTCTTATTGAGCAAGCTTCTGTATCAGGCTTTATCCTAAGTGCTTTTCATTATTTTATTAACATTATTTTATTTCATCTTCCCAACAATTCTATGGGATGGGTATTTTTATTCCCATTTTACAGGTTAAGAAACTGAGCCCAAGACTTTACCACCAGTAAATGGTAGGGCTGTGGTATGAACGTGGCCCATCACCACCAGCTCTTCTGCCCCCTCCCCAGGCGTGGCTCTCCTCGGGCCACCACAATGGCCTTTTAACACGCAGATGCGACTGTGACCCTCCACTGCTCAACAACCTTGAGTGGCTCTCCACTGCCTTAGCACTTCAGCCTGCTCCTAGTCAGCGTACCTGTCCTGCATCTTCTAACACACTTGACACTCTAGCCCAGGGCTTGCCAATCATCCATGTGCCACACGCGTGAGTTTTTCTTGCTGTTCATACCTCCTAATTTATTTTACTCGATATTGATTATTATTTACTTCACATTTGTCTTTTTGTCAATTCATTTCCAACTTAAATCCATGGATTTTTACTTATCATCATGTGCTTGTGCTGCCTAAATCACTTCCTACCACTCACTAAGATGAAAAACTGTAAATAAAAATATTCATCTAAAGTCTCCCTACCCAGGACCCATGGCGGGTGCCCCACTTTGAGAAGCACTGCCTGAGCTCGTGTTACGCCCCCTCCCTAGACTGGGCGAGCTCCTTCCCACCCTCAGAGTCCCGCTCAACCCACATCTCTTCGCTTTTCACAACACATGCTTCCAGGCAGAAAGAGGGACTCCCATCACCCATCACCCAGCCTGGAAATGCAGTGAGTAGGCACGAGAAGCACCCAGGGTAGGGACCAGGGCTTATTCTTCTCACACTCAGGTCCTTACACGGGGCCGGGCACATAGTAGGTGCCTTGGGGGAGTACCACGAAGTAGGTACTTTGGCAATGTTGAATAAATTGGATTCAACCAGCTTTTCTCAAAGCTTGGGTGACCCACAAGATGAGTTGGGGAGGACATGAACTTGATGTGAGATCACAGAAAGTTACCCCAACTCTTGTTTGGTCCTCTTGAGAGCACCAAAGAGAAAGTCTCACTTCAGTGCCAGGATATCTTTTTTTTTTTAAAGATTTTATTTATTTATTTGAGAGAGAGAGAATGAGAGATGGAGAGCACGAGAGGGAAGAGGGTCAGAGGGAGAAGCAGACTCCCCGCTGAGCAGGGAGCCCGATGCGGGACTCGATCCCAGGACTCCAGGATCATGACCTGAGCCGAAGGCAGTCGCCTAACCGACTGAGCCACCCAGGCGCCCCAGTGCCAGGATATCTTAAAACACCTCTCAGACACTCAGTGATTACTCCTTTTAACAAAAAGAAAGCAGTCCTCCGTCTTGGAATCATCCAGAGTCAACCTCATCGAGCCAGAATTTACTAATACAAATTTGCCTTCATTGTATACATTTTTACAGTTATCTTGTGTTTACGACAATGGATACTGATTTTTCGTGATCGTGATATAAACTGTTTTATTTAAATATATCTTTTTTTTAAGATTTTATTTATTTATTTGAGAGAGAGAGAATGAGAGACAGCATGAGAGGGAAGAGGGTCAGAGGGAGAAGCAGACTCTCCGCTGAGCGGGGAGCCTGATGCGGGACTCGATCCCAGGACTCCAGGATCATGACCTGAGCCGAAGGCAGTCGCTTAACCAACTGAGCCACCCAGGCGCCTTATTTAAATATATCTTTAAGTGTATAAGGTAAGTTGATTAAAAGAAAAATATTAAGCAAATAGTAATTTTGATTTTGTTCTTTCTTCATAATACCTTATCCAATAAGTGAATATGCAAAGATTGTTAGGATAGAACTAAAAGTTCGAGAATGTGAAACCGGATAAGCCCAAAGCCCCTTTGTCATAAGATGCTCTGACACTGGGCTGCCCCAGAGTACGAGGTACCCTTAAATCAAATCATCCCGGGAAAAGAACAACTGTGATGGAGCCATGAAGGAAAGATACATGGCATGCTGGAGTGGGAGCCAGGGAAACTGGGAAAGGCTTTCCTGAGGATGTAATTTCCGCTTGGGCGGAGATTTACAGGATGGATAGGAATTCTTCAGGTGAAGGGTTGCCACCCAGCAGGAACAGCATATGCAAAGGCCCTGTGGCAGGAGGGAACATGAAAGATAAGAGGCTCTGAACCAAGGTCAGAGTGGCTGAAGTACCGAGGTGGAGCCAGAGAGGTGGGCAGGTGACAAAAGTGGGAGAAAATCTGTCCATCATGCCTATTTAGGAAAGAGTTGCTCAACCTTTTCGGGAGCCACCCAGGGCCTGACTCTTGATCTGAGGGCCTGGCGTTCAGCAAGGAGTTTCTGGATTCTGAAAGTAATAACTGAGTTAGGTCCAAAACTGATGAAGGTTTAGCAAACACTACTTGGTGCAGGTGTGGTTCTGGGGTGGCCAGGACAGCTGAAAGCTGTTCAGAATTCAGGCTGTCCTATTTCCCACTTCCTGGTCGGGTGACCTTGGGCAGCCACTGAAGCTCCCAGAGCCTCAGGTCCCCATCTGTGGGGTGCAGATACCAGCAGGTCTGTTTTTAGGGCTGGTGTGAGTTACACGAGCTCCTGCATGTAAATCGCCAGGCACAGAACCTTGCCTGTGACTGAGAGGTGAAGAACCACAAGCTTACGAAGACTTCTGTCAAACAGCTTGGGCAGCAATGTGTGCTGTATATACCTGTCCTGCTGGTGTATGGATCTAGCAGCCTGGTTTTGCAATATGTCTGTGGTGTGGATGCAGGTGGATGCCCATATTTTAGCAGTAGGGACAGCAGGTGGGTAAGCCGTGTGTGTCAGAGGGCATGTGTGTTCAGCCATGTGAGTCAATGGGAACACCCTTTGGTGTGCTGTGCATGGGTGTATACCCATCTAAATAGAATTCTTCTGCACCGAGTGAAAACCCACACAAATTCAACATGGCCCATCAGTCAAGGGTTAAAGCCTCGGCCTGTCTTGACAGCACTTTTCCAAATCCCCACTGCTCCGAGGAATCTGCCTGGGTCTCCTGGGCCTGTTGGGAGCTGGGCTGCGATTCACTGAAAACAGACTTTTCTTTCATTCCCTGTTCCCCGATACTGGCATGTACACACATACACCTCTCCCAGAGCATCTCAACCTTATCAAGGGAGCAGCCAAGGAAGCCACAGTATGGAGTTATCGCCCTCCTTCTTCCCCCTCTCCTCGGCCTACCTCCCCCTACCCCATTCCCATGAGACCCCCTCATGTCAGGACTAAGTACACATCTGACTTTTCTGCCCTGAGTCTAAAGTGGCAAAACCACCCCAAGTTTTGGTGAGCAACTCCCTCCTCTCCACTGGGCCCTGGGAGGGGCCTTGAACCCTCCCATCTCCATCCACACCCTGTGTGGGGCCAGTGGACGTACCTGACCCTCAGCCCTGAGTCCAAAACGCAACACCACCCCGTGTTTTATGTAAGGCCCAAGGGCTAGGGTTCCAGCTCTGATCTGTGCCTGGGATGGGGCGACATCAAAGTTCACAAGTCATCCAATCTTACCCATCCACTTCGCGCCCAGAAAGGAGAGAGGACATGGCCAGAGGGGGATCCCGGCACCCCCACCCCCATCTCCCCACCCCCATCCTGGTGGGAGGCAGTTAACACAGACCCGTGGCGAGGTACTGAGGGGTCACAGCATAAAAGGTCGGTGTCCACCCTGGACGCCCCCACCAAAAGGGGACAGAGCCAGGAGATCAAAGCCTTGGCAGGCGTTACCATGGTGACGGGCTGCTCCTCTCCGGGGCTCGGGATCAGTCCGTCCGCAGGTCGGTCTGTGGGGCGCGGCCCCCTCCAAGCACAGGAGCGAGCAGAGAAGCAGAGCGGGCTGGCCGGGGAGGGGAGGCCGGGGACACAGGGAGAGAGCCCGACAGAGCCGGCGAGACGAGACTGGAGGCAGGGCGAGGCGAGAGGGGGGCCGCGGGCGGCCGCAGGGGCGGGTCGGAGCGCTGCTCCCCGCGCGGGACGGGGCGGCGCGACGGCGGCCCCTTTGTGGCGGCGCCTGGCCCGCGCCCCGCCCGCCGCGCGGGAGGACAAGCAGGCGCCCCGCTCCCGGCCCGGGGCCGCGCCGCCGCCCAGAGCAGCTGGGCCGCCCGCCGCCTTTCCGCCAGCTGCCCTCGGCCACGCCGCCAGGCCGCCGCGGCCGCACCGACGGCCAGGCCAGGCCCCCGCCCCCGCGCCGCACCCACGGCTAGGTGCGCACCGCTTCGGCCTCAGCCCGGGGTGGGGTTCGAGTCTCCGTCTCGTCCACTTGCCAGTTGTGTGATCCGGCAAGGCACAGAGTGTCTTAAGCCTCAGTTTCCTCATCTGTAAAATGGGGATGATGTTACTGATGCTGCTGCTGAAGCTAGTACCTGCTTCTTAGACTCGGTGGCGAAGAGTAGGCATCTGTCCCAACGTCCTGCCCCTGTGAAGCCTACACCACCCACCATCAGGATGGCCCTCTTCAAGACTTAGAGGTGATGGGGCTGGGGCTGTTCGCGAGTTCTGGTCTGTTCTCGCAGATAATGACGAGCTTTGTGGCCTTGGTCAAGCCATTGTTCCTCAGTTTTGGAGGGAGACTAGAAACTAGATGATTTCTGGCTGGATGACTCTGGGGTTCATCCATTTATTGACCAAACATTGTGCCAAGGACTGAGCCAGAAGAAGTCGGAGGCTCTGCCCTCAGGTAATGTATAATCTCGTGGGGAAGAGAGGCAAGAAACAGATAAACAGAAACAAATAATGGTTGAGTGTGCTAGCTGCTAAGGCAACAGACAAATGTGGACATTGAGAATTAATTGTAGGGGGACCAACTTGGAGCTGGTGGTCTAGGAAGGGACAGAGAAGCCTAGATCTGAAAAGGGGGAAGGGATTAGGTGAAGAGTGGGGGAAGGGTGGTGGGGGAAGAAACAGAGTTGCAGGCAGAAGGAACAGCATATGCAAAGGCCCTGAGGTACCATTAACCTTAAAGAAACTGGGAATCAGTGAAGACCTGACAAAGGACAAGTGTAGTACTGAGGGTTCGAATTCAAAGCCTAAGCCTTATTTATAGCCCACCTCCCACCCCACATAGGTTAATCAGTATTTTAGCAGAGAAAAACCTGAGCTAAGAACCACCCCATCTTGCTGTGTAACTTTTAACAAGTTCCTTCATATCCTTGGTCCTCCCATTGCTCATTGTTAATTTGGGACTAATAATCCCGAATAGTTTCACCATGCCACACAGCCCAGAGACTCCCTCCACAGCATGTATTAAGCAAGCAAATCAGTGTCACCAACCTGCAGGGGCAGTCTTTTTTGGCATCACTACTCCAGACATAAATTTGAGCAAGAACAGATTTGTTGTTGATGTCAGGTAAAGAATTCCATTGGGAATTGGGGGGATCCCAGCTTGGAGGCTGCAGAGTCCCAGTTTTGCAGTGAGACAGAATTGACATGACATCCAGGGTTCTGGGGTTCCGGATAACAGAGACTGACTCTGAGTCAGTTTAGCAGAGAAATAATGGGTTAGCAGAGTATCGGGAGCTCGCAGAGTCAGCAAGAAGACTGGGGGCCCATCCTCTGGAAAGCACAGACACCAAATGAGATGCTCCAGGGGTCTCCTTGTGGGAATGAAAGGTAAACCCTTGGAAGACTGATGGAAATACATCAAGACGGAAAAACACACCAAAGTAGAACTTTCTATGTACAGCTACTTCTCTAAGTGTGTAAGGTTATGAGGTAGTTTCTATGATTGTCCTTATTTTGTAGATGAAAAAATGAGGCACAGAGAGGTTCTGTAGCTTGCCCAATGTGGGGTAGGTACTGATTGTGGAGCCTGAAATTGCACAAGGCTATCCATTTCCAGAAATTATGTTATTAGCCACCTTCCTGTGCTACCTGAATGAATCCCAAGCTATGTGTCACTCTTTTCTAGATTCAAAGACTTAAATGAGAGATTCTAGTTGGGTCATGTGCCCAAGGTCCCATAACCCTGAACATATTGGGACTAGTTGGTCATCTAAAGTGTGGGAATGGATCTGAAGTAGCTTATAGACAATGGTGCTCACTACAGTCCATCCCTTGGGCCTCTCAACATCCTTTGTATCTTTATTCCCATGCATGCTCTTCCAAAAATAATCTCTACTGACATGGTACTACTCCATGTACAGCCAAAAATGTACATACACATACCTACACCCTTGTATGGTTTGGCTCCATAGTGTGTGTGACCTCAAGGAATTTCACATTTCTGAACCTCAAATCCGTCGTTTGTAAGACAGCATATGACTTATTTCCTCATGGGACTGTGGTGGGGATTAAATAAATGAATGAATGTAAAATGCTTTGCACTGTGTCTGGTACACAGCCGAATTAATATATGACACATAAAATGGTGTTGTTTATGTAAGGGGCCAATAGTTGTGAAATCGGTCTCCAACTATACAGGCTTAACTATTGGACTGGATTTGGTTCATCTCTCAGGGACTTTCCAGAGGATTTTCCAAGGACTGTTCAATGTATTTCCTCTCTCTTTAAAGGGCAAATGATTAACTGAATGAATCATGCTCCACTTGCTACACAAGATTTGGAGAAATGATGAAACCCATCGCTGGTCTTACATATGGTGGAGTGGAGAAAGTGGGGAAGCATGGTGGAAATGGGTCTCTGCTACTGACCTGCTGGGTTACCTTGCACAGATCCCTCCTCTTTTGGGACCACAATTTCCTCAGCATAAATTGGAGGCTCTAATTCTCTCCTCATGAGACTTTTGTGAGAATCCAATGAGGTGATGATTGAAAGAGCCTAACTCAGTGCCTGGCATGTAAGAGGTCCCCAGCAAATGGCAGTTGTCCCTATGACTCTGAGATTCCCAGGGTCAGGTGCCAGGACATCTCCCCCCAGAGACAGTCTCACTTGGGGGGAAGAGAGTTGCCTAATTCAAACAGAATGTCATGCGATTCCAAATTCATTCATTCAATATTTATTTCTTCCTACTATAAGGATAGCAAATACTTGGTACACATATGCACACTCACTGCTTTCCTACCCATGCTAGGCATCAGGAATCAATCAAGAACCTTCCTGCAGAACTTAGAAGCAGCCTCAGAATCCTCCTCAACACAGAGCCCAGGCAGCCGCTACCATTCAATAGGAGTTGGCGTTAAGACAATATTTATCTAATATTTGTGGTCCCTAATGTATAAGGAAAATTAGCATTGAAAAAGGCACAGACTCTGGAGGCAGAAGGCTTGGCTTTGAATCTTGCCTTAAAATTTCCTACGGACTGTTACTAGAATGAGTAGGTACTGAGGCGCTGGATCAGCCATGGAGTGTGCCACTTAGATCTCCCTTCAAGAGGGATCCCATAGCTGGAAGTTCAGGAGTTGTGGATTCCTCCAGGATACAGCTTTTGACCTGAGGCCACATGCTTCTGGAAGAGCCCCCAGCTGAGCACAGTATGCACAAGGAGTCACCATCTCTGCCTGACGTGGGCCTCTTCTGTGAACAGTCTCTGTGTCAGGGCTCCCCACTGGGCTGAGACTTTCTCAGTGCTGTACCACAGTCTGCAATTCTTTCTACCCCATCCCCCTTTCTTCCATTCTTCCTTTCCTGGGTGTCAGACCTGTGGCGTGGTCTGAAGCCTCTCCCGTGCTCTTTCTGCCTGTCTCCCCTTCACCCTCATGGGCATCACTCCCAGTAAGTTTCTTGCATTTCCAACTCTGACTTTGGCATCTGTTGCAGAGGATGCAACTCACACCACACTGAGCTGTGTAAGTCTGGGTTGGAAGAGAGTATGCTCCTGTCTGGGTTGCTGAGACTAAGGGGAGACACAGAGATTATTTTCAAGTTTGGGGGCAAAGACCCAGAACAGGGAGGCTGAAGAGCACAGTAACATAACCTATGGCCTGCCCTAGATGGAATTGACCTTACCCATCAAGGACTCTTGATTGTGTCAGAGTTTCAATCCTAGCACCACAACATTTTTACCCTACATCTATATACTAATCCCCAGGAAGAGACCTTGATCGGCCTTGCTTGGGTCCCAAGTCTATTCCTTAGCCAGTTACTGTGGTCAGGGTAATGAGGATATTCTGATCGGTCAGAATAGACTCTATGCCCACCGCTGGACGGGCGCATATGATGGTAGCTCTACCAGGACTGCAAGGAGTGGGGGAGAAGTTCTTCAAAGAAACCAGAAGGAGAGGGATGGAAACACAGGCTAAACCAACAAAAGCTTTGGGGATCGTTGCCCAGTTCATGAACAGTGGGAAGAGAAAAGATGGAAAAGACTTGGTGTTGTCCCTCAAGGACCTTCTCTTCTTGCAGGTGAAAATGTGATGTTTAGATGAGTTTCCTGAGACCAGGTCTTGGGATGGGAGTGGAGGAGAGCTGGGGACACACGGACACCTCAGACACTGTCCCAGCCTCTCCTAGGATGCCCACAGTCTGGTCCACAGGGACAGAGATGGAAACAACCTATGAGAATAAAAGCCCCTGACACTTAAAATGTACCTTGTTTGTCTGTCCTGATTTATAGCACGGAGGTCCACCCACAGAGGGCTGACTCACACAGTGTCGTGCTGCCCAGCCAGGACACCTACCTGTCATGTTTGCACTGTCCCTAAAATTGTTTCCTAGTGGAGGAGCTCATGATACTCAGGAGCAGGGCCCTGAGTTCAAGTCCCTGACTGCCCACTAACACCCTGGGGGCTCATGATGGTTTACTTAAGTTCTCCAAATCTCAGTTTTTTCAGCTGTACAATGGAACCAATAATCTCTGCTTTGCCTCCTCCCCCCTGCCTGCTGTGAGGCAATAGCTACGAGCATTGGTCATGTGCTGCCAGAGACACAGATGCATTTATTGATCACCCACTGTATGCCAGGGACAGTGTGTTGAGTCCTGGGAGTAGCAGGGTGAACATGACAGACAGGCCTTGCCCTTGTATAGTTCACAGTGTTGTAGGGGATCAGATCTTAATAATGAAGCATCATACAAATCATGGTATGGTTGTTCAAGAGGGGAAAAGCACATACCAAAGGAATCCAGTAGATTTTAAGGGTCTGGGAGGGCTCCCCTGAGGGCTTAACCTGAGTTCTGAAGAAAGAGAAAGGATGAACTGGTGAAAGAAGTCAGGGAAAAGCATTACAGTCAGAAGGAAGAGTATACGCAGAAGTCCTGTTGCAGGAGAAGAGTTGGAAGCACAAAAGAGGCACAGTGAGAGGGACGGGG